AAATCTGGTTTTATCATTTCCACTTTTATTGTTTTTATTGGGTTGTTTGTGTCTTATTATGAACTTTTTATATTTATTTTCAGCTGCGTCAGAATTTAAATAAATTTCTTTAAAGGTGGACCCAACAGAAACCTGCTGAGAAAAAAAATGATTGATTCCACCTTAAAGAGAATTCTGTTTCAATGAAGTTTCCTCTAGATGTTTGTGACTCAAGTGTGTCTTCACCTGTTTACTGTTGATTTAACCAGAAATTTGTTGATTTTAACAGTTTGGTCTGTGGCGCCACCTGCTGGCAGAAACATGAAGCTGAACATAAACCAGAATAAGCTGCAAGAACTCAGCTTTCTGTGGAAAAACTGCTTCAGTTTTAGGTTTAAAATTAAGTTTTCAGTTGGCTTAATTTTTGTTCCTTTGATTTTAAAAATCATTTATGTTTAATTTGTTTCTTCAGCGACTGGTTTCAACTAAACCCTCAAACTGAAAGGTTTATTTAAATTGTTTTATGATAAGAGTAATTTAAAAACGTGATGTGTTGAAAACAAAACTGAACATTTAAAATCTAATGAGAAGAACAAATATTAGTTAGGTGTACAAATGCAATAATTTATAAAACAAAAGTCAGATTAAATGTGAAACCTGGGCCGTTTGTCTCCGGCAGACGATTCCTCCGGACCAGGAGCTGCTCGTTTGGTACGGAAACTCCCACAACACTTTCCTGGGAATTCCTGGAATTCCAGGAGGAGACGAGGAGCAGAACAAGAAGACTAAAAGCGGTAATGCTAATGGGATATTAAATATTATATTTATAGCAAGTTTAGACACAGATTTAAAATGTTTCAGTGAAACAGAGCTGAGAGAAAAACAGCTGAATTTTGTTTTAAACTAAAGAAATGAGAATAAAAACGTCAATCTGTTTTTTTAAGAAACTGTGAAAGATTTTCGTCTGAGCTGTTTCATGTCTGTCAGTCTGAAATGATCTCCTCTCTTTACAGATGATTTCCACCCATGTGAAGGCCCCATCGCTTCCTCTTCCTCCTCCTCCTCCTCGTCCTCCTCCTCTTCCTCCAGTCTGGGACGAATGCGCTGCGTTATCTGTCACCGCGGCTTCAACTCACGCAGCAACCTGCGCTCCCACATGCGCATCCACACGTTGGACAAGCCATTCGTCTGCCGCTTCTGCAACCGGCGCTTCAGCCAGTCGTCCACGCTGCGGAACCACGTGCGTCTGCACACCGGGGAGCGCCCGTACAAGTGCCACGTATGCCAGTCCGCGTACTCACAGCTGGCCGGCCTACGGGCGCACCAGAAGAGCGCGAGGCACCGGCCCTCCGGAGACCCCAGCGCCCAGGGTGGAGGCATGGTGGTGGTGGGGGGCGGAGGGGTGCACTCGCCGCCTCCGTCCCACCCACCGCAGCTAACGGCTGTGCCTCACCCGGCCTCGCTGGTCCACCACATCCCCACCATGGTGCTGTGAAATAACTGACCCTCCTTTTCAGAGTGAGCCTGACCCTCATGTATGTGTGGTGGGGGGTGGGGCTTAAGTCAACCTGCTGCTGTCACAACTCTGAACTGCCAAGCTTTTCCTGTGCCCCACACGGGGCGCCAAAACTTGTGAAAACTGTCAAAACGAGACGGTTGAACCTAGCATTACCCTTCACACCTGCAACACAAGGCAGACTGCAATTCAGAAAGAAAGATGGCCGACACACACACACACACACACACACACACACACACACACACACACACACACACACACACACACACACACNCACACACACACACACACACACACACACACACACACACACACACACACACACACACACACACAGCTGTGTCCATCTATACATATGGGGACATTCCATTGACTTTGGTTAATTTCTACAGCCTAAACCTAACCCCCGTCCCACCAGTGGCAGTCTCTCAGACTCGCTTTAAGTCCTTTAAAATGTGCTTGTTGGTCTGGTCTTCAAGATGAGGAGAGGCTGAAACTCGATTCTGTTGCATGATGTTTGGAAGAATTTCGTGTTGTGTTTGCGCTGCATGCTCCTGGATCTCAGTGAAAAGTTGTGATGTGTGATTTATAAACAGGAAGCTGCTACAGTCGGAGGCTCCTTCAGAATAATCTGCTGAATTTCTGCTGGGTTTTACTGCCTCAATTTATCCTGCTTTACTGAAAAACCTGTTGAAAACTCAGATGATTTCTTTGAATAAGAACAAAATTAAATTAAATCCTTTGTTCAAATATTAATAATATTACTGTGAATATAGTTCATGTCTATGCTTCTTGGTCTCAGTTTGAAGGTGGTATCTCCTGACAGCTGTTAGAAGATATGAAATCTTTGTAAATAATTTTCTGTGAACAGCTGATTTCAGTGTAAAAACATCCTGAATTTATTGAAAGCTGAGACGATCTCAGACATTTGTCTTAAAATGTAAAAAAAAGCTGCAGTTGTCAGCGAACAGAATGATTCTAAGCATGACTTTAACTTCACTGTCACTTTATCTTATTCTATGTAAATGTATAAAACATGTATCAGTATATGAAGGACATTTAATCTGAGCCTATATAGTCTTAATAAAATATTTCTTCTGCACTGAGTCCTCTCCTCTGTTTCACACAAAACATCCAACCGTTTAGTTTCTGTTTAACTCTTCAGCTCAAAGGGCTTTTCTTTGTTTTTGCTCAAAACACCGAAGTGTAACTGAGTGTATCTCAGCATTTAAAAACTCTATTTTCCTCATCTTCAAAATAAAGCTAACCCTTGGAAGATTTCATCAGAAGTCTAGGTGTTAAAACAGCTGCTGTGGTTTTAGAGGTATTGAGAACAGAATAATTTTTGCATTAGACAGAATATAACTTGTTTAAAATCATAATGAATCAGGCTAAATCTCTTGGAAACCATAAATCCATTGTGGACAGGTTCAGAGTTTCAGAGGTTTTAGAAAAGAAATAATTTTGTATTTTGTCATTCTGCACAGGACAGACCATGATGGTACCATTGATAAATGTTGAGAAATCTTTAGGCTTTAAATTGCAAAAGTTATTAATTTTTTTCTTACCTGCTTGAAAAGGCTTGTTGTTTAATGTTTGTTCTTTTGAAAAATTATCCAAACATTTATTTTTAACCGTATATATTATACTGTATAAAAGAATGATAAATGCTATACTGTATTTGATTCAGCTGGACCATATTCACTCAAAAGCAAGTAAAAATACAATTTTTTCAACACACTTTATAACATATGTTGGTTCTACTATGACTTGCTTTAAAAATAATGTCAAAAATCTTTCTTTTACAGATTTGCAATGATGCATTTTTGTGCAGTTTGTTTACTTTCTGAATCAACTGTTTGATGTTTAAACTGTTTGGTTGATGTAAAAATAGTTTTCATGTGGTTTTAGTTTCTTAGGTTTCTATTGATGAACATGTCCAGGTTCAGCTGGCATGTACCTGTACTGTGGGTGTAAATCAGAAGCTTTATCACAAAATGAGATTATACTGAATTGCTTTGATGAATGGCAATACATTTCTTGAAATGACAAAGCCTGTCAATTCAGTTTTCAATTCCACAGCTGGCATATGATGATAATGATGATGATGGTGATGAAGATATGGTTCAATGTTTTTGTTTTACCTTGAGATAATGGAATATCAATGTGGATTAGTGTATTGTTACACTGCTAAGGGCTGCGTCACACGGCAGGATAATTGGGCTGAATTCTGGCCCTTCTGACAATCTTAAGGATGTCCAAATTATCGTGATGACTCTAAAGATAAACAGCAGATATTCCTGCCGTAGGTGGTAAGTTAAGAGTGATCTAGTCAGCTCGGAAGGACGTCGACTGCTCTGACCTCAAATCGAGGATATTCAACATGTTTGATTTTTTGGCCCGATATCACACCGTGTATAGTGTTCACCTGAGAACAAATGAGCTCACAACCTGCTGAATGAGATAGCCAATCAGAAAGTGAGGTGACATAAAAACTAAGGGAATTCCAAAATACAGAAGACAAAAAACTGTCATGACTCACCAGAAAGTCTTCTGGATGTTAAAAGTCTTATGGAATTGTTTTTCCTCTGGTAAAAAATAGTCCACAATCAACATTGTTTCTTCCTCGTCGCAAATGTTTATTTACTCTGAACTCACGTCTCACAAATCTGCAATCAGTTGTTTGGGAACAGAGAAATGTTTTTGGTCAGGTGGACAATAACACTTTTCCATCTGCCTTGGTTGGTTTGGTAAACAGAGTTTTGGCGCCCCGTGTGGGGCTACAGTAAATTATATGGCTTTGTCTAGTTAAATAGAGCTTCACGGGGATCATATAATAGTAATATAACAAGTAAAAAAGCCAAAATAAAAATAAAAAATAGTTTTTTATTATCTCAATCATTTTTTAAAAGTAGAATAATTCTACATAAACTCTTCTTAAAAATGAATTTATTATTATTCACACAGTCAAAAATATTCAGTTAAATCACTTAAGAAGTGGTGCTGGTGGTATCTTTTTGTCTAAAAAGAGGATTTGTTTGACAGGACTTGTTGGACCGACCTACATTTCTCTGTCCCATCAGAGGTAAGGTGGTTCAGAATCTGGAACACCAGAGTCCCGGTTCACCTGAGACTGAGAGGACCAAGAGACAAGCTCCTGATCCAAACCTGTAACTGTCCATGTGAGAGAGACAAATGTCTTCAGGTGAAAAGCTTGAGCTTTTGGGGCCAAAATGAGAAGAAGATCCCAAACATGAGAACTGGTTTCTGATTGCATAAATGTTATGCAATCATACCTTTCTGGGAAATGAAACGGTTCAAATAATTCATTAAAAAACAATAATAAATCAATAAACATTCATCAATAATGAGTGGATGGAAGCATTTGATGTGTGTTTATTGAAGGAACTCAACTTTTTTCTATGTTAACACAAAGTTTTGGGGTCATCAGCATTGGGTAAGATCAGAAACCACGGGCTGAGTAAACTCACCTTTGGGACACAAACACCCCACCTCCACTCCCCCCACTGTGTCCTGGCTTCAGAGGACAGTTGGGTCAATAACTGAGTTGATCAATAACTGATGAGACGTTTTTCTCAGTCTCTTCTGCTCAGTTGTCTCAGTTGTGTGTCTGTGGAGCTCAGAGTGAGTCTTCCTCGGCCTTCAGGATGAAGGTGTGTTTCCTCCTGCTTTGTGTTTGCTGTCTGAGCTGGAGGACAGAGGCTCAGTCCCAGTCGTGAGTCAAACTTTACATTTCAGGATGGAGGTATCTGTGTTCGGGTCAAGTTTTAACGTTGTCCTCTCTCAGGTTTCTGATAACGGCTCCTCTCTCGTTCTGCCTGGACGCCGTGGAGACTGTCTTCCTGCAGCTGTTCGGGTACACATCGGAGGTGCCGGTTTATGTTTTCCTGAAGACCACCATGGCTCCGGATTATAGGGTTCTGTCTCAGGACGTGGTGAGGCTGAACAGCCTGAACAACTTCCAGGGTATCGCCAAAGTGCGGGTGAGATGGCGGACCTGTTCATTACATGTCTGTAGACTTTCAGACAAAAATGCTGAGTCACTGTTCCTCCTCTTCTTCAGCTGTTCCCAAACCAGCTGGGCTCGGACGTGAATCAGGTGGTTCTCCACGTCCAGACCAATCAGATCAACCAGCACATGTCCATCCCTGTAATCAGAACCAACGGCTTCCTGTTCATCCAAACGGACAAGCCGCTGTACACCCCCCATCAGAAAGGTAAGGGAAGCGCCCACCACTCTTGATTTAACATCTTCTCTTGAATCTTAAGTTTGCCTCCACTTCAGTCAAAGTCAGGGCGTTCTCCATGAACCAGGAGCTGAGGCCTGCCAATCGCAGCGTTTACCTGACCTTTAAGGTAACGAACGTCTTAGAACCTGAGAGACTTTAAGACACGTTGGACCCAGATCAAAGAACCATGTCCCCATCCCTCAGGACCCTGACCAGACCACAGTGGACATTGTGGAGATGATTGACGTGAACAACGGAATCCCGTCGATGCAGAATCCTTTTAGAATCCCCATCAACCCAAAGTAAGAAACTAAAACAGGCATCACGTCGTTAATGGTGTCATTTCCAGATGTTCAGACTGAATTCTTCTGATTCTAGGTTGGGAATTTGGACGATTGAAGCATCCTACACGGATGATTTCTCCACGAAAGCAAAAACAGATTTTGAAGTTAAAGAATATGGTACGGCCAACAGGGATGGGTCTTATCATCACCTGAACTGCACAGTTAATCTGAAAAATACAAAAAATAAAAAATAAAACTGCTCAATATTTACAGGATACTTCCTTGAAGGCACCTGGTACATTCCAGATACTTGTACACATCCCCTCTAAGAACCCAGTACATGTACAGTTACACTAGATTTACTCAGTACATACCAGGTATCTGCATAAAGGGGTAAATACCAAGTACTGGGTACCTATTTAGCCAGTAAATAGCGGATATGTACCAAGTAAGAGCCAAGTAAATACCAAGGTGCACAGTAGGAGCCTAACTGGTATGCACTTGGTACATACAATCTATGTACCCTGTTATGTGCATATTGTGTATGTACATGGCAATGTACCAAGTGTAAACCTGGAATGTATTGGGTATCTTCTTAGCCAGTAAGTAGCAGATACGTAACCAGTGCATACCCTGTAAGTACCAGTACCTGCTGTTACAAAGTACTACCAAATTAAAATACTACTCGTGTTGTTTTTGTCTCAGTTCTTCCCAGTTTCTCCATCCAGATGGAGCCGCAGACAAACTACATCAGTTACCAACAGTTCCAAGAGTTCATCTTCAAGATTTCTGCCAAGTGAGTAAATAAGTTTAAATACTCGACATTTAAAGTCCTTGTGTTTTGAGCCGCTCTGAACAGGTGTGTCCACCTGTCCACCCTCAGGTATCTGTACGGCGCTCCGGTGGCTGAAGGTGTGGTGTTTCTGCGTTACGGATACGTTACCAGGAATAACCCAGCAGTTATTATCCCCACCTCGGTGTCCAGAGTGAGAGTAAGGAACAGAAACTCAGAACTTTAACAAACCTTTAATAAACTACAGACGGGTATTATATTAAGCCCCGCCCACCATGATTTTATAAGTAACTTGAATAAAAAGCTGCATGGTGTTTTTCACTGCAGTGACGCCAGCCTCCACTCAGCCTCCACTCAGATGGAGAAAGTTTATTGTGCACGCTGACACCAGGTATTACGGTAATAAGGCTTGCAAGTCATTTTCAAAATAAAAGATTCCATGTCATAAACACGTAAAAGAAAACAAAATAAAATAAAAACAATACATTTAACAAACCCTAAATTGCTGTCAACATTGTAACAAAACTGTCCACTCACCAAGTAACAACAACATCTGACCTTGCATTTAAAAATAAAAGCACTCCAAACTTTGATGACCCACATATATTGTCACTGTATGTTGCTGTCTTCATGGCAACAAAACATTTTGTTTCCAGAGAACAGTCTCACTTGAGGGTGACTCTATCAAATCTACAGATCTTACTCACCAAGTTTCAGCAACATCTGATTTTGCATTTCAAAAGAAAGGTTGCTGAGACTTGGTGAGGACGATCTATAGTTGTTGCATGCTCACTTGGAAACAAACCGTTTTGTTACAATAAAAACAGCAACTTATGGTGACAATATATGTGAGTAATCAAAGTTTGGAGTGCTTTTATTTTTAAATGCAAGATCTGATGTTGCTGGAACATGGTGAGTAAACAGTTTTGTCGCAATGTTGACAGCAATGTAAGGTTTGTTAAATATATTGTTTTGTTTTTATTTTATTTTACTCCATTTAGTTTTGTTTTGTTTTGTTTTTGTTTTTTTTACGGGTTTACGACATGGTTGCTATTATTTTGAACTTCGCAAGACTTATACTTGGTAATACCTGGTGTCAGCATGCACAATAAACTTTCTCTGTCGCAGACTGCGGAATCAGATGATGGAGGGGGTCGGACGTCCAGTGGGTGTGGTCATGGCTTGTAGGGAAGGTTAATATTAGACTTGAAAAATTGGGCGTGATTAATTTTAGAATATAGCATCTGGGGTTGGTTAATTTTAGAGTTGAGGGTGGAGTCAGGCGTCCGACCCCGCCTATTTTCCGACCCTGCCCCAGTATTTTCCTCTGAGTTCCAGGGTCTACAAGTGGTTCTTCCTGCTCAGATCTAAAGTTCTAGTTCTGTCCTTCAGCTGTCTAGGACGGGCGAGGTGGAGGTGACCCTCAACATGCAGCAGGTCCTGCAGCAACACGATGGACCAAGAGACCTGAACGGCCTGGTGGAGAGTTACCTGTATGTAGCGGTCCTGCTGCAGGAGGACACAGGTACCCTGGCACCAGGTCCGAACATTCAGGTGGACCTCCTGGTGTTTCTGAACCGGACTTTGTCTCTCAGGTGGAATCACTCAGGAGGCAGAGTTTGCTTTTGTGAAGTTCGTCAAGTCACCGTACCACCTGAGCCTGATCTCCACCCCTCTCTTCATCAAACCTGGACTTCCTTACAACATCAAGGTATGTCAGGGTTTTCATTTCCACAGCAGGTACAGCAGCTAGAGGAGAACATCACCACAGCAACCACACAACCCTCACTCCCTGACAACATTCAACCTCAGAGTTCTTCCATGTCAATGTAAGAAAGTGATGAAGACTCTGTCTCTGCAGGTGTTGGTGAGGGATCACCTGAGCAAGCCGGTGAGCCGGGTTCCAATACGTCTGGTGGACAAACAGCTGATCATGAATGGAGGGAGCATCGGGGACTTGTCCTGCCCGGACTCCAGCACCACTGGAGATGATGGACTCGCTTATTTCATCTGCAACCCCCTGAAGAACTCAGTCAAGGCAGTGCTGAAAGTGAGGAGGAGGAGTTCACTTCATTTATACTTCTTCATCTTATTTAGCTGTTAGCTACTTTTAGCTACTAGCTTGCCTTTTGTTACATTTAGCTTTTAGCCATCTTTAGCTACTTTTAGCTATTAGCTTGCCTTTTGTTACATTAAGCTTTTAGCTTGCCTTGTGATACTTTTAGCTATTAGTTTGTCTTTTGTTACATTTATCTTTTAGCTTGCCTTGTGATACTTTTAGATATTAGTTTGCCTTTTGCTACATTTAGCTTTTAGCTATCGTTAGCTCCTTTTAGCTATTAGCTTGCCTTTTGTTACATTAAGCTATTAGCTTGCCTTGTGATACTTTTAGCTATTAGCTTGCCTTTTGCT